TTTATAAGAATTTTTATTACCAAATGTTAAATATTTTTTTACATTAATTTTAATATTTATATTCTATAGTGTTAAACAACGCATTATATATATTTCCAAAAGTTCATTTTAAAATTTTACATCGAAAGTAACTTAAAAAATCGACAAATGTTTCGTTCGATCCCATGCGTGGCACGGGTTAAAATATTAGTGTATATATATAAAGTAGAGCGGATTAAATGTGGTTGTGCCATGTGTCATGCCACATAAGCTAGGCGTTAAATGTGTCATCTTTTCATTTGTCCACTTGGAAACCACATGGATGGATACTTCTTAATTATTGATGTTAAATACTAATAGATGTAAAGACAAACGTTTGAACATTGAAAGGTCATGTTCACAAAAAATAGTGTATATACACAATTTTATTTCTTTTTAATTTCTAAGTATATTTTTTTTAAAATATATTATTATATATAATTTGCTTTTATATTAATAAAGATATTTATAAGATATATGTGATAGAAAATACAGTGTATATTTATTTTGAGAGAACTTTAGAATAATTACTTTTTATGTCAATACATGCATGTTATCATTTAAAAATAACAACTAGGGATTGATTTAGTGTATGATTAATTTTAAAACTGTTGATTTCAGTTGACATGTTCATGATTTTATGCAATTCAAAGATGTATTAAAGTATGTATGTTTATCTTATTACATTTTGGATATGTTGATAACTTATTTTCTGTGTAACTATTAATTCTATTTTTTACTATTTCAAAATTAGGAAATTTTGTGTATAAAAATAGTTTGAAATTTGTAAAAAAAAAGTAAATTTTCAAACTCTACCAAAAAAATTTATATTTAAAAGTGATCGATCAAAAATTTATATTTGGGTGAGTTAAAGTGTATAAAAGCAAAATAGTTGTATATCAGTTTAAATGAGTTCAACCATTTAGTCGAGAAATATTAACAGATCGCTGAAATAAGAAGTCTAGAGAGTCGCGTATAAGTAGGTCAATAGAATCTTTTTCATGTGTGCACGTGTATAAAATATATTTACATGTTTTATATATTGATAGTAGCAGAGTGACTTTAATACAAATTCAAATTTATTTTTAATATCACATTTTTAAAATTGAGATATAAAATGTATAGATATATTTTACGTAAGAATATACGTGTTCGTGTGAAGCACAGATTTATTTTTAATTTCACATTTTTTTAAAAAAATGATATATAAAATTCATAGATATATTTTTCATGATAGGGTTTGATAGTATCAGGGACCGTCACGGACTACGCCCACCCCTATGAAGCACGAATTTATTTTTATTTCACATTTTTTAAAATGACATATAAAATTTATGGATATATTGTACTACCTCCGTCCCAATTTATAACGCATGTTTCGGTTTACGATGTTTGCCTGAAATTATTTTCATTGGTAAAATATACTGTTTACCATATCTTAATTTTTTATTTTTAATGTATAATTTTTTGATGTAGTTTTCTAGATGTTTTGATCATCACTGTTATTATAAAATAAAATAGTTTAACGATTGCTTTTATCTCTTTCTTTCACTTATTTCAAACTGGGACACTTATCATTTGTCCGTAATATTAAAGGGACGGAGGGAGTACATAAGAATATTAATATTTTATATGTACACGCCTAAGAAATATCAAAAGAACTTTTCTCATGTGTACATGCACATATAAAATATATTTACATGTTTTGTATATTGATTGTGCAGTGTAGCATAGCGACTTTAATGCACATTCCAATTTTTTTAAATTTTACAATTTTTAAAAATGAAATATAAAATGTATAGATATATTTTATGTAAGAATATATGAGGCCGTGTGAAGCACGTGAAAAACACTAGTATTTTATAAAATAAGAGGTGATATGACATTAGAGAAGGACTAAAGTAGTTCTTAAAATATGACCAAATTTCATATATAAAACCTTGATTCATTCGACCGTGATAATACATAGTCTAAGCGCACAACTGGACTTAAGACTTCTAGCCCTTACCAAGAATATCACCTTAAATAGTAATGTTTGAAGATCTAAGATTAGGATAGTTGGATAAGCATTTTAAGTACGTTTAGTGGTAGTTTTCTCACCTTATTATATTTGTTTTGCATTGCTATGTGTTTTCTCTACTTTATGTGACTTGAGTCGGGGGTCTCTCGAAAATAGTCTCCTTAATTTCGAGTAGGGGTAAGGTCTACATACACAAACCGACACACGCATTTCACGGTCCTTCTCGTGGGTGATCCAAATGGGTTGATGTTGTTTATTTGAGCGTAGAACTAGGAAAAAAACCATCAAAAAAACACACAACTCCTTATTTTCTTCTTCAATCGATTTCAATTGCTGATGTTGCTGTCACGCGTTGTCGTCGTTGCCGACACCACCACAATTAGTTATTGTTTTTACCGCAATGTCATAGTGCCAGAGAGAGTGTTAAAAATATCAAACAATGACAATTGATGCTATAGTGTCAATGAAATTAATGTATAGTGATAATTATGTCACTGTCGAGTCTCAAATATGTCAATGTAGTATCTAAAAAATGATAAATTGCCAAGAAACAATGTGATTTGTTGAAATACAATGTCATGTTCGCATCACACACCATATTCTAAAAAAGAGAAAAGCATTATTATAATTTTAAAATAACCTTTTCACAAATCTCAATTGACCAAAAAATCATGCAAAGGTCTAGCAAACACACTAGCACGAGATGTTAAAAACTATGCAGTGTGCCGATGACAAGATATGGCGGGGGTGGATGTTGAAAAAGGTATCAAATACATTTTTAGTCCTTATAAAATTAGTAACTTTTTGTTTTTTTGTTTCTTTATTTTTTATATCAAATTATTCCTATAAAATCATTATGTTATCTAATAGTCCTCTCCCATTTTAAATACTTTGTATATGAGCTTATTGCACCAATACCCCTTGTGGTTTGGTAAATATGCACCATTATCCCCTATAGTTTCAAAACATGTGTCGTTGCCCCTTGTGGTTTTAAAACTCTGATGCAAGATGCCCCTCTTGACCAAATTACCTTTCAAATATTAAATGAATAGCTTTGTTGCCTCTTATGATTTTGGAAATGTGCACTAATGCCCTCTATCTTTTATTTATTTATTATCATTTTCTTCTTTTTTTACAAAGAGAAGAAAAATGATTGTGTTTGAAATAGTGAAATTATTGTTTCTCAGAAAGGAAGAAACTAAAAGATGCCAAACCTGATGAAGCATCTTACAAAAAAGAGGACACATTCAGAGGCATTACAAAAATTCATGGAGCAAAGATCTAAAAAAAATAATTTGACAATAAAGATGGTTTTGGGTTCCTAAAAATTAAATTAAGACATGAGCTAGCTTCTATGTGGAGGTTGCTCATGACCAATGTTATATTTATAGTAAATGCTTGCATCATGTGATAAGTGAGGAAATTACAAAAAAATATTGAAGAAATGGAAGGTTATCAATATGATCTCAAGTATGAACTAAATCAATTCAAGAGCAATCACGATTGGATGAAGAGTGCTAGAGTAGAAGCCATTGAAGGCGATTAGGCGAAGTGGACATTTCAAAACTCTATGGAGACAAGAGTAGTCTCGGACTCTCAGGTTACGAAAATAACAAGGCGCTACTTGACTTGTTTGTTGATCGGAAAAAGGAAGTTGCTCAAGATATCCCACAAATATTTTATTACTATTATCTTTGGTAAACTAAGAAGAGTAACATTAAAGATATCTTGAGCAAAACAAGAATGAAAAATATAAACAGGCCTAGATCATGTTACATCAGCCCATATCTGAAAGAACTCCCCCTCGGACAATGCATATAAGAATATCACAATCTGCAAACATAAAGAATATCTATACTCCCAGCAAAATTATCATGCTCTAAGATATTCCATGTTGGAGATGAAACGTAACACCTCTTAAGGCATCCTCTTGATCAGGCAAAGATGGTATGCATGCGATGATCCACACAAGATCTGAGTATACCAAAATTATTTCCATCAAATGCTAGTTTACACATGTCTAGTGTTTGATTCTTCATAGCCATAAATTTTACATTCTCATGACAAAGAGGTATCACTTCATCACAGTTATGAGATAATTAAGCTTTCTTCTCACCACAATGATCTTCTATCTTTCAATCTTGAAATCTTCTTTCCTAACTTATCACATGATGTAAACATGTACTGTTAATATAGCATTGGTCATGCGCAACCTCCACATAAAAACTAGCACCTATCTTACCTTGAGTCTTAGGAATCCAAATCTTCTTTGTTGACAAATACGTTTTTCTAGATCTTTGCTCTTTGAATTTTTTACAATGCCTCTTAGAGTGTGTCCCCTTCTCCACAGCAAACATAAACATAATTAGGTGCAAGGATACCTTTTAGGTTTGGAATGATAATTCTTGTATCTTCCCAAACTGAATTGCTTCACAACTCTATGCCTCTCTCTACACAAGGTGCTGCATAAGATATTTCAGCAGGTTTGGGAGCTTCTGGTCTCTTCCTTTGTGGGATATCTTGAGCAACTTCCTTTTTCCGATCAACAAACAAGTCAAGTAGCGCCTTGTTATTTTCGTAACCTGAGAGTCCGAGACTAGTCTTGTCTCCATAGAGTTTTGAAATGTCCACTTCGCCTTCAGGGCCGGCCCATATAGGGGACAAGGTGGCCAGTCGGGCCGGGCCCAATAAAATTGGGGCACAAATTTTTTTTAGTAATATATATATATATATATATATATATATGTATGTATGTATGTATGTATGTATGTATGTATGTATGTATGTATGTATGTATGTATGTATGTATGTATGTATGTATAAGCCCAGGCCCAATAGTCTTAGACCAAAAAAAGAAGGGAACGGAACTACGGATTACGGAACACGGAAGAAATTGCCTGCCCCATTCTGCCCGATCGTATTCACGAAGACACGAAGTGAGTCAAGTGACGAACCAGAGACGACGTGCCACCGCCGATTGAGTCGCCGCCTCCACCGCCGATTGAGTCGCCGCCTCCAGGTAATTATTAATATCTTTCCCTTTCTAATTTTGTAATTTTTATTTCTTAAATCTTAAATTTTCTTTCATTGTTTCATTATTTAGATTTAAAATCTAGGGTTAGTTATTAGTTTTAAATTTGAAATCTTTTCTAATTTCATTCTTTGAGATAGATTGAATGAATGGTTCTATATGTTATTTATTTGATTTGGATGAATTGTTTTGAATTTGTTATTTATGATAATTATATATTTGTATTAAAAAAAACTGAAAACTGAAAAAAAAATTAAAAACTGATAAATTGTTGAATTGATATGAATTTATGATTTATAAAAAAATTAAACTGAAATATAAAAAAACAATTTAAAAAGGACAAATTGACGAATTGATATTAATTAATGATATATTTATTTATTTGTTTGCTTGCTTGTTTTTTTTCAGTTTTTTATTCTTGATTTTACTTAGTAGAATTTATGATTTTGGATTTTATTTCAGAAATAATTCAATAGCTATGGCTCCTAAACAATTATCCGGTAGTCAAAAAAGAAAAAAGAGAAAACGAGATGAAGAAATGAGAAAATCTCAAGCCGGAGCTCTATATAAGTTTTTGAAACCTGTTGTTGAAGACGAAAAAGTAGAAGAAGTAAAAGAGATGGAAGAGCAAGAGCATCTACAAATAGAGCAAGAACATGTCGAAGAAGATGAACATTTAGAAGAAGAGAAAGAAAATTTAGAAGAGGCAGAAGAACATCATGAGCCTATGGTTAGTGTAGTGCATACTGTTGTTGATATATTTGATCCAAGAAGATGGGAATGACTTAATTCTGAAGAGATTAAACTTTTAGTGGAGAAAGGTCCAAAAAGAGATCATAGTATTCACTATGACCCATACGACAAAGATGGCCAAAATGGTAGACGCTTTTCTACAGCATTATATACAAAAACTTTACCAAATATGGAGAAGTGTGATAGAGAATGGCTTGTATATTCGAAAGAAGTAGACAAGATATTTTGTTTCTGCTGTAAACTGTTTAGAACAAGAATTCCGAAAGGAAAATTGGATGTTGAAGGTTATGCAGATTGGCACCATGCTCATAGAAGAGTCAAAGAACACGAACTTTCAATGGATCATCTCTCCAATGTGAATATATGGCTTGATATGCGTAAAAGATTGAAGATAAATGAAACAATTGATAAAGTTCAGCACGAGCAATTCAAGAAAGAAAGAGATTACTGGAAACAAGTCATTTTCAGAATCATAGCAATAGTGAAGTTTTTGGCTAAACATAATTTAGCATTCCGTGGCTCAAAAGAAAGATTGTATAAAAAAGGTAAGGAGTTAAAAATGTTTTACTTTTTAATGTTCCACTTTCATAAAGTGTAATGTTTCTTAATTATGTTTACTTTTTAACAGGTAATGGAAATTTCTTGGGTTTCATTGAGATGTTACAAGAGTTTGATCCAGCTATTCGAGAGCATGTGCGCCGAATCACAAATGATGAGCTTCATGTGCATTATCTCGGGCACAAGATCCAGAATGAACTCATACTTGATTTAGCCCAAGAGATTAAGAAGGAGATCATCAAGAAGATAAAGGAAGCCAAGTACTACTCAATCATACTTGATTGTACCTCTGATACAAGTCACCAAGAGCAGATGAGTATGATAGTGAGGTATTTAAACTTCTCAGGTAATTCTATTACTATGGAAGAGTCTTTTTTAGGCTTCTTGAATGTTAATGATACCACATGAAAAGGATTATTTGATGTCACAATTGAGGAGTTAAAGTCTCTTGATCTTGAAATTGATGATATTCGTGGTCAAGGTTATGATAATGGGGCAAATATGAAAGGAAAACATCAAGGAGTTCAAAAAAGATTTTTGGATGTCAATCCTAGAGCATTTTACACTCCTTGTGATTGTCATTCTCTTAATCTTACATTATGTGATATGGCTCAGAGTTGTGTTAAAGGGAAGAATTTTTTTAGAGCCATCCAAAAAATTTATACGGAGTACTATCTTTGCACATTCAATTAATCGGTGGCAAATTTTGAAAGATAATGTTAAAGATTGGAGTCTTAAGCCATTATCTCAAACTCGTTGGGAAAGCCGTGTTGAGAGTATTAAGGCAATTAGAATGCAAATTGCCGATGTACGAGAAGCTTTGCTTGAAGTTGAAGAAAAAGATAGTGATAATACAATTGTTCACACGGCAAAGTCACTAGCAGAAAACCTTAGTGAATTTGAGTTTTTGGTATCAATTGTTATTTGGTATCAAATATTAAACCAGGTAAATATAGTGAGCAAGAAGTTACAATCAAAGGATATGCATCTTGATATTGCTATTAAAGAGATAAATGGATTGATTGACTACTTCAAGGGTTATAGAGAAACTGGTTATTCAAAAGCAATTGATGAAGCAAAGGAAATAGCTGCTGAAATGGACATACATTCGATATTTCCAAAAAAGCGTTTGATTCGAAGGAAAAAAGAGTTGATGAGAGTTCAAGTAGTGAAGAAGTTTCATTTACAAATGAAGAGAATTTCAGGGTCAATTTCTTCTCTTATGTTGTGGATAAAGCCATAATCTCTATGAGAGATTATTTGGGTTTTTGTTCCCACATAAGTTGAGTGGAATTGAAGAAAAAGAGCTTAAATTGTTTTGCCATCAACTTGAAAATGCACTCAAGTTTGAAGAAAGATCGGATATTGATGCCGAAGAGCTTTACATGGAGTTGAAATCATTCAACACATTGCAAACAAGTGAATTTAGCAATCCCATAGATGTTTTGAAGCATTTAAAAGAACTTGGTTGTTACCAGAATGCTTGCATTGCATATAGAATTTTGTTGACTGTTCCTGTAACGGTGGCATCTGCAGAGAGAAGTTTTTCCAAATTGAAGCTCTTGAAATCTTACTTACGCTCTACAATGTCCCAAGATAGACTTAGTGGATTGGTGGTAATAGCTATCGAGAATGAAATCTTAGAGAGCATAGACTGTGAAGATGTGATCAACCAATTTGCTCTCAAGAATGCAAGGAGAACTTTTCGAATCCTCGGCTAGCTTTTACGGTATGTAATTATAACACTTTAATTTTATCATTTATTTTTTTCTTTTAATAATATTGCGTTATTTATTATTTAGATATAATTAGTTTACATATGTGAATTTTTTAGATCATTAAATAAAAGATTTTTAGGGCCTTTTTTTTATTTAGGGGCTGTTTGTTTCAGCCTCTTAATGGTTCAAATGTCTGAATGGTTCAACACTTAATAGTTCAGATTGTTTGTTTCAGCCTCTTAATGGTTCAGATGTCTGAATGGTTAAGAGATTTGCCTCTGAATGGTTAAGTATTATACAGAGTCTGAATGGTTAAGACCTCTTATCTGAATTGATCAGACATTTGCCTCTGAATAGTTAAGCAATATACTAGCTCTTAATGATTTAGACCTCTTACTGATTCAGCAGGGGCTGTTTGTTTCAGCCTCTTAATGGTTCACTACAGACTTACCAAGTCGTGAATTACCAAGTCTGACAAACAAAGTCGGAGAATTACCAAGTCTACAGACTTACCAATTCTCTAAACGGAGACTTACCAATTCATAATATGTCTCAGACTTACCAATTCTGGAGAATAGACTTAACTAGTCTGTAAACGGAGATTTTAGTTAAGCAATATACTAACTCTTAATGGTTCACACGTTCAGCACTTAATGGTTCAGACCTCTTACTGGTTCAGCACCACAAATTGCCAAACTGCCAGCCAGATTCCCCAATCCGAGATGCCATACACATCAGGTGATCCCTGCTCGCCGTCGGCTTCCGGCGAGGGTAACCTGAACAAATGCAGTCAGCTATATGAAGCCTTAACGAATTGCCACCGCCGGATCCGGGGTGGTCTGGACCGGGAGATAGCATGCCGCCATTTGAATCGGTCTCTGGCACAGTGTCTTGTGGCGGAGGTCTGTCCTGATGAGTCTGATGCCGTTCACTGCCTCTGCTCGAGTGGCGGCACTTCCATCAAGCGCCAACAGTGCCGTGAAGCCCAGGTCGCTCTCTCCGTCTGCCTAGCCTCTCATCAGTCCCCACCTTGAAATCCATTTTATATCCCTGTAAACCACCTGTATTTTCACAGTTTGTCCCTCACTCGAGTTCTGTATTACACTAGACATTGGGTTTCTGTAAAAAAAACAAATAACAAAGTTTTTCCTTTTTCTTCTATTCAAGAAAATGTGAAAGTGGGTATGTCAGGTTATAAATTTTGATAAAGTAATTGTTTGTGTCAACTTATTGCTTATCCCATTCAAGTGAAGTTAGGTTTTAGATCTTGGTCAAAACAGTAGAAAAAACATGAAGTTAATTACAGTGCAAATTTACAATAGTACTATTCTCCACATAATCAGGAAAATTGCTCACTTTGCCATTTAGGAAATAGGGAGATTTGACCTTAAGCACTTAAAGGCTAATAGTGAGAGAAAATTGCTCACTTAGTCACTTTTTGATTTAGGAAATATGGAGATTTGCCATTAAGCACTTAAGGCTAATAGTAAGAGAAATGATAGAGTCACAAACAAAAAGACACAAACTTACCGGCATGTGTGTGCATTCATGTGTCTCCCAGTTTATTTGAAAAAATAGGCAGTATTGTCTATGCAAGAGTTACTTTCAGAAGCACAGGATGCCTTAGTATAAGTTGGGGAGGGTTAGATGTGTAATGAAAACTTACCTTTACAGGGTAGAGCCGTAGAGGTCTCTTTCTATGAAGAAGACCTCAAAAGGAAAATATTAGAAATTCTTAGAATTTTTTTAGAGTTTTAGAACTCATGGAAGTTTTGTAATTATTTTCTGTAGAAAGAATGTACATTCAGAAGTGGAAGGTAGTGTACATAGTGCAGTAAAAGAATAATTTGGGCAGTAAAGCAAACATAATAAAAACTCACATGGTCTTAGTTATAAATCAACTGAGAGAAAATACATAGACCAATAATGATAATCAATGTACTCCAAATTCTGTCACTTTATAAAATCTACCCTCCATTATCATCATTGCAAATAACAAGCATCATGGACACTCGCTTACATTCCTCTAGACATCATATACAAAATTACAACAAAGAAGGAATGAGCTTAGCTCTGATTGTTTGTGTATCCATACTTAGATACTTCCATCGGAATGAATCATTATTTTTCAAAAAAGATAAATTTTTAAAGTACTTGTCTTTATTTCAGATGCATTTTTATTATGATGAGAAATAAAGTACAAGATTTGTATTTAAAAAATTCTGACATCTTTTGAGTTGTGATTGTGAAGGAAAGTATTTGTTTCGATTTTCTAGTAGGATGTGTGTTTTTTCAATTTTCAATGATAATGGCTCAAACGCTTAAACCCTGGAGCATGACAAATAGGCCAGACCCAAACACCTTCTTTGGGGGCGGTGGGGGGACACAATCTTGTTATAATTTTATAAAATGTGTAATACTGATGAAATCTATCAAAAGATAATATAAACAAAATGACATATTATGTGTATTTGCTTGTCCAACTTGGTTCTGAAAAGAAAGTTAATGCCTTCAAGTTACCAGTATAAGGCAATTGACAAGAGTAGTATATATTGTGTGGGAGAAAGAAAGGTGCATCTTCCTTGTCTTTAACAATTGACACTTACCAAAAGATGTGGCCGATCATGATGATAATCAGGTGCCCCCAGCCTTCGCATAACAGCAGAAATGAGCTCAGCCAAGTTTTCTGTGCCTGAGACATGAATTTCAAACAATAAAATGAACAGTACGTAAGTAACTGGAAGAATTGAAAAGATTGAAGCTATAGTAACAAATAGAAAAGAGTTAAAGATATGGTACAAGTAATTTCGCCAAAAGGAAAACTAACCATACAACTGAAAAAGAATGATAGAGAAAATAGGTTACTCCCTGCATCACACAAAGATTGTCCCATTTACTTCAACACACTTTATGGATGACAGAGAAAAGTGTATAACTTCCATTTGACTATTTAATTTTGGGAGACAGATTTTTTTGCTGCCTTTTTTTCAAAAAACTAGGAAAATCACCACCAGTTTGGTAGACACTAAAAACGAAAGAGATAAGGGTCAAATAAGTCATGCTACAAGCAACAAAAATGAAGGTGAGCAGGGAACGATTTAAAATTCAACTATAAATTCAAGCAATGACATGCATCTTAGAATTTTTCACGAAAGCAGTCAAAGTTTAATCTCCGATGGAGCCAAAATTTCACCATTTTTTGGCTTTGGGGTGTGATGGAATAAATCAAAATGGATCTCTAAACTGTCTGCGCTTCTTTAATTAATGAAGTAGCAGTTAGTCAAGCAATGCAACTTTTGACGTTGAGCCAGGGGTCTCTTTGGAAACAGTCTCTCTACTTTCGAGTAGGGGTAAGGTCTGCGTACACACACCCTCCCCAGACCCTACTCTTGTGGGATTTAACTGGGATGTTGTTGTTGTTGTTGTTGCAGTCAAGCACCCATCAGTTAACATGATGTGAAGAAATGTGATAATTGGAATTTTTACACGAATGTTATAAGTATGATAGCCAATTGCACATTTTTAATGTTGAACGGCTTAATTGCATATCATTTTTAATTGGCAGCCTAATATGATCAAACAATATGTGTACATCAATTTGTGAACGGGGATAATGTTTAGTATTGTATTAGAGAAATCTTATTTTTCTATTCTACAAAGATTTTCAGGGTCTAGACTTTTGGAGGATGAATAGCAAACCAAGACTGAGTCCAGCCAAATAATTAATAGACGTAAGCCATGGTTTCTTTCAAGTTTTAAATAAATTTCAAAACGATACGGGTGATTCAAAAACTTATTCCCAAATGAGGATACCTCTCCTTTTCCTTTTTTACTTTTTTTTAGTGGGG